GGCACAGGCTACGGGGACTGAGAAGTGGTTGCACAGAAGTAATCAGGGGCCAGAACAAGATAACATGATGATCTATTTCACTCCTCCAGCAGTGCAGCAAGATAGTTATTTTATAGATGAGAAAACAGATTCAAGGAGGTTTAAAGACTTGTTTAAGATCTTGCAGTAAGGGGCAGAGTTAGTCTCTAGCTCCAGCCTAGGTCTTTCCACTCTTCTATAGCTGCCTCTGAAGGGCAGGCATGCCAGGCAACCTGGAAGAGACAAACCTCTAAGCAGGTGGACCGTGGGTCAGCAGAGCTGGGAGGATGCAGAGCAGAAAACTCAAGTTCAGCTGAGGCTGGGTCTTGGAATCCCTCAGGCCACTGCAGCGGGTCCCTGGCCCTCCTTCCTGCCTGGACAGAGTCCACCTCCAGTTTCCCACTGGGGCTCTTCCTCAAGGAAGGAAGCTGAGCATCTGAAGGAAGATATTTAACACCCTGGCTTTCCCATCTCCAGAAGTCTCTTCTTGTTTGTGCAGAGTCTTTTTCCCATAAACAAACGGATTGTCCAGGGGCCAGTGAACAAGTGCTAAACATGAGGACGTGACCAACCTCAGTGACTGGCTCAGCATCTTCTTCCTCCAGTGAGGCTGGCAGGAAGCCAAACAACCAGCTCTGGCAGTGTGACCAGGGGCATCTCGCTTTGTGGAAACAGCCTTTCTCTGAAACCCCATGGAAATCAGATTTTTGCAATCTAAATCTGATTTTTCTTTTTACCAAATTTTAGCTTATCATACATATTATCATACCATATTATAATACCTACAAAGTTTAAAAGAAAACAGCACTTGCACTCCCACCTAACAACACATCCCTTTCACTTGAGTGTGTCTCAAGTACATGATCACAGATGTATTGTATGTACTTTTAATTATGTGGATAAAATTTTGTATACTCTTTTAAACCAAACATCACATTATAAGTATTTTCCCACATTGCTAAACAATCTTTATAATTATATTTTTCAATGTCTTAAGTTTGTTTTTATTTCCTTTAAGACTTAGATTTTTTATAGGTAATGTATGCACATGGAATAAAATTTAAAAGGTACAAAATGGTAGCAATGAAATGTGAGTCTTGCTTCTGTCCTTTTCTCCTGTAAACCCAGTTCCCTTTCCTAGTGGCCTAAATGAGAGTAAAGGTCTTTTTTATATACTTCAGAGGTATTTTATGCATATATAAGACTATATATGTTCCTTTTCATATGGTAACATACTATAAGCACAGCACTGCACTTTGGCGATTTGTTTCAGACCAGGATATAAAAAGCACCCTCATTTAAAAACATGGCTATCAAGTATTCCATTCAGTAGATTTTCCATGACTTATTTAGCTAGTACCCTATTGAGGACTTTGAGGTTATTATTACTCTTCTGCTTTTTCAAATAAGACTCGAGGGTGGGAGGGGATGGAATGGAGGGAGAGGGGCACTTACTTCCCCAGCTCTCCCGCCACTGGGTCAGTGTGAGTTGGTCCCTACCAAAGGCCACAGCTCCAGCAGGCTGTCCTCTCCAGTGCCAGGAACCCCTTCCTCCCAACACTCTCAGCCCAGCGGTGGTTTCCCTCCCATCCGTTGCTGGCCAGGCATACTGCATCCCTCCTTGCTGTTTCCTAAACCCTCCTCCATACTCTTTTCAAATTACCCAGTTTCAGAGTGCCATCTGTTTCAAGCCAGAACCCTGACACACAGCCCTAATCTGCAGGCAGAGGATAGACTAAGGGTGTACTATGCTCTCTGAAATGCTGGTGCTTGTGAGGAGTCATTGGTATTCAGCTCAACTCAATTCCACCACATTCATCCTTCTCCAGCCCAACCCAGGAGGGCACAAGGCTCTTCTAAGCACTCTACACACATGATTTAATCTTCACAGCAAATAAACCCACAAGATTGAACTACTGGCCATGTTTTGAAAAGAGGAAACCAGCTCAAATGAAGGTTTGCCCAAGTTATTTCCTTAAAGGCAGGTCCATGGTTTAAACTCAAGTCTGGACTCCAAGGGCCATGCATTAAACAGCACCCCTATGACTTCCACTCTACTATCCTCAAGGTCAAGTGAAAGGACTGAACAAGACAGCAAGAGTGAAGGTGCTTTTGAGACCCTGAAGAGCCAACACACCTGGCTGGCCTGAGAACTACAGTGCTTCCTGTCCCTCCTCAGAAGGCCAGGCTGAGTCTTTGACAGAGGGCTTGAAGAAGGTCAGAGCTGGCAGGAGCCCCAGAGATCAGAGAGCCTCCCTGTCCTGTGTTGAGGGGGAAACAGCCCCAGAGAGGACAAGTGGTTCCTCCTAGATCCCTCATTTGCTATAGGAGCCAGAATTAGAATCCAGAAGGTCTACAGACACCCTATAAACAGATCAGTGAGAAGGATGCAGCATTCTCTTTAGAGAGGAGTTTAGAAGAGAAAGAAGGGGTAGGATAGGGAAGAAGCTGATTTCTGGACTATAGAATTTTAGATTTGGGGAATGCAAGGGATCTCAGAGCCCATTGAGAAGCTTCTCTGATAGTCACTCCAACAAGGAAGCTCTGCTTGCCCACCCTCAGTGATGAGAAGCCCGTCCCTGCCAGAGGCAGCCTGTTCCACACTCCCAGCGAGTGGACATACAGGTCCTGTGATTCCTCAGGCCCCAAGCCCATGTGGACACAGATCTTCTCTCCAGGATGCCACAGAACGTGCTTGCTCCCTTTGCCCCAAATGGGTGAGCCATGCTCACAGCACACATACTCCCCTTTTCATGCTTTTGCTTGGCTGTGAATCTCAGGTAACTTCCTCCCTCCTCTCTGTCTACTTAAGTCGTATTTGTTTTCCAAGACTGCTGTACAGGACACTTATTGTTTCAACCTGTACAACCATTTGCCCAACTTCTGATAATACCATCCACATTTCCCTAGGGAATCATGTTCTCACCTCCCACCAACTTTAAGTGTAGTGTTGTTATTTTATTGAGTTATAATTAACATATAACATTCTATTAGTTTCAGGTATACAATATGATTATCTGATATTTGTATATATTGCAAAATGATAACCACAGCAAGTCTAGTTAACATCTGTCACTGTGCATAGTTACAAAACTGTTTTTCTTGTGATGAGAACTTTAAGATCTTCTCTCTTAGCAACTTTCAAATATGCACTATAGTATTACTAACTGTAGTCATGCTGTATATCATATCCTCTCATGACTTATTTATTTTATAACCAGAAGTCTGTGCCTTTTGACTCCCATCACCCACCCAAGTTTATATAGTTTGAATAACAATGATGTTCCTACCAGCTTCTTTTGCTGGCTTCTGTGATTGGTGCAGGGCTGGGCACTAGGCCTGTTTTGGAACAGTAAGAGTCTGACCTAGGACTTCTGTTAGGAGAGTTGTAGAGGGAAGAAGCTCTTTCTACTGATTTTACTCTCAGGATAGACTGTATACATGCAACTCTAGGCAGTCATCTTGTTACCACAACATAGGATCCTGTCTGGGAATGGAGCAATGTAAGAAAAGTAGATCTAAAGATGCAAAGAGACAGCTTCCTGAAGACATCGCCTGCACTCCTGGATCCAGCCATGCCTGAAGCCAGTGCCTTTGGACTTTACAATTACATGAGCCCATAAATTCCCCTTTCTACTTAAGACAGTTTGAGTTGGGTTTCCTGCCTATTACAACTAAGATTCCTGACTGATACATCCACCTCTTCTTCAAATGCTAGTCCTCACTGACCCCACTTTCTTCTGCATTCTCATGGCCCTTATTGTTTAAACCATGAGACTCAAAAGTCCATATTACCTGATCATGACCACACATGCCCTAATTAATAGTTATTCTTTATGGAGCACTTGCTATGTACCAGGTACCACATGAAGCACTTTATATATAATATTTTAATCTACACAACCATGATAGGTATTTAACCCCCATTCTACAGATAAGGAAACTAAAACTCAGAGTGGTTAAGCTCTCATAGCCAACAGTGACAGGGCTAGGATTCAAACATAGCTCTGTTGGACCCCAGAGGCCATATTCTGGACTACTGTGCCACCCTGCTTCTCAGGACGCAGCATGTGTGAGCGTGAGATGGGAGAAGAGGCCACTGAGATCTGCAGCCTCCTGAGCCCACACTCTCTATCCTCTGCCTCTTTCAGGGCTCTTGCCATTGCCCTGTGCTGCCTGCAGAGGCAGGAGAAAGGTGAAAACAAAGTGAGAACAAGAAGAGTTCTAAGGGTCAAGCTGACAGGTCAAGCTGATGAGATCACGGAAACCCAGAGACAGGCTCCTGAATAGTAATGGAATAAAATAACTTGATGTGCCAATTAAACTTCCTCTGTGATTCATGCTGTGTTTTCCCTGGTGACTCAGGCTTCTGAGACTCTTGGAAGATACCATCCATGCTCACCCTACCTCCCAACCCTTCTCTCCCACTTACTAGACAGACATTATTTTACATCCTGGGTATTCTTTGTAAAAAAGATACACCAGGTCTGTGTCCTCATTGTGCTTATAGCCAAATGGGAAAGGCAGACCCCATATTAGTACACAGGTAAATGGAAGACTGGGTTGAGTTCCATAAAGAAAACAAACAGGGAACTGATGGACGATGGTTCCATTTACCAAGAGGAGACTGAGGGGAGCCAGGGAAAGATGTCACGAGTTCCAGTCACACGTGTCATCCAAAGAGATGATGTTATATATATATCAGATGATGTTAGCTATCATTGGAAAACAGGCAGGGAAGGGAGTTAGGGAGGGCAGGAGAAGGGAGGAAGTAGGATTTGTAAATAGGATGGCTAGGGAAGGCCCTACCAAGAAGGTAGCACTTAAGCACTTAAGACTTGAAAGAGGGGTATCTCTAAATGAGCTTCTACATGAGTCTTTGACCCCTTCAGGCAGCCCACCCCTCACCTTCCCTGTATGTCAGAGCCTTGGCCCTAACTGCTTTGGACTGGAGAGTTCCCTGAGGGTCCTTCATAGGCTATGGTCTCCCCAAGTCAGGAATTCTGTTTCATCCTTCCTTGTCTTACATAACAACAATAGAAGCTGCCATTTACTAAGCACAAGTATCACACTGGGCCCACCTCTTGGCATGTGGCACACATATTGGGTCACCTAAGCCACACAGCAAGCCTGCAAAGCACAGATGGGAAGATGAGGCAGGTCAGTCCACTTTCTGATAGCCCCTTAGCCACTTGCCTTCCTTGACAGGTTCCTGCCCAACCCTCAGTTCAGAGAAGGGGAAGTGGAGGATAGACTTTAAGTTTCTGAAGCACTGAAAAAGGGAACAAAGATTAGGTGTAAAATTTGTGCCTCCAATGGGCAAAAGGAACAAAGAGTAGAAATGAGTAAGAGGCAGTTTCTGTCAAAATTTGAGAACCTCCTAACAATCGGGATCCCTAGCTTCTTGGGCACAGTGAGCTCCTTGTTACTAGAGGTGTGGGAGAAAAGGTGGATAATCTCATGTCAAAAATGAAATATAGGGAATTTTTAGGTAAGGAATTTGACTAGATAACTTGAAGAGTCCTTCCAACTTAGGTTCTATCACTACATGTTTTCAGAACTCCAAGATGGTGTGATTCTAAAATTTTATTAGGACAAGAAACAATCCTTATCTTCAAAGAACTCACAATCTAGTAGATGAAGTGGGCAAATAGTTACTTTTTATAACTGTAATAAATAGGCCTATAGAATAAATGCAAGACCCTGGGCAGGGTGTAGGAAGGAACCCTCAGTGATCCAGAGCTCTTTCCTTCAGGCTGATCTCAAGAACCAACCACCTGCATCAGAATCACTTAGGAATCTTTTTTTTAAAAAATGCTCATTTCTGGGCTCCATTCCAGATCTTCCTGAGTCAGAATTTTTGGAGTGGAACCCAAAATCTACTTTACTAAAACAAGTTCCAGGGTGATCTTAGGCAGACTGAAATTTGAGACTTATGCCCAGGGTCAGGATAACTTCCCTGAGAGATGATATCCAGACTGAGAAAAAGTAGCTGGGTCAAAATACATAACCACAGAAATAACATGGAAGTAACGTGTTTTCATGAAGATTAGCAATTGTGTACAAAACTTCCGTGTGGTACATTGAAAAAAAAATGATAGCACTTCTTAGATACTACCTGAACTTATATGATTGAGGGTTTGTGCCTTAGATGTCCTGAAACAGATCTTTGTTTGCAAGGGAGCAAGAGCTGACCTCAGTTTGTTATTAATTATTCCAAGGCTACAGGCTGTAAAGAGGGTTCTGATAAAGACTCCCTACAGAGCCCCTGAGAGGCTGTTCCCTGCCAGTGTCAACTCCCTTACCCATTGCCTCCTGACCCTCATTTCTCAGCTGTCCCTGGCTGCTTCTCATTTCTGGATCCTGCTGTGTCACCAGCAAGGAAGCAATAATTTCAGTGAGGGCCTGGTGGCCAGAAAGTGAAGGGTGTCCTGGGATGGAGGCCAAGAGGTGTGGCTGGACACCAGTTTCTGGGCATGTGAGGCACTGTACAGACTTGGAAAGAAGAGACATAAGCTGGGGCAAAGGAGAGACAATGACATAGTGTATTTTCTTTTTTTAGGTATTATTGATATACACTCTTATGAAGGTTTCACATGAAAAAACAATGTGGTTACTACATTTACCCATATTATCAAATTGACATAGTATATTCTGAGTCTACTAAACCCTGCTATTGACTTTCTTGGTGAGCCTGAGTAAGTGCCTTCCCCAAACGGGGCCTCTGCACCATGTCTTGAAAAGAGGGTTTGTTTTCCAATCAGATGATTTCTTCAGTGACCACCTGGCTTTAATATTTTGGAATGTAAGATCTCATCTGACCCAATCCATCATCCTGTAAAGAACGTATGCGGAAACTGTACCCATTTTATAGAGAGAAAGCCAGGGCCCACTGAGGAGCAGTGACTTGCCCACCACCACACAGTCTCTTAGAAGCAAAGACTGATTCCACCAGGACCCGACCTCAGCATCGCGGTCTTCTGAATACCAGTCTCATGCTGTGCAAGCTGAAGCGAAGCAAGAGGCATGGTCCAGGAAGCAGGCGCTGCAGGGGACGGAAGGGTCGGAGCCCAGAGCCGGGTGAGGCCCAGTAGCTGGGCGGAGGCGCCCGGGAGAAGTGGGTGTGCTGGGGGCCGGGCGGGGCCGGGGGAGGGGACGCCCTGGGTAAGGGAAAAGGGAGCCGAGCGCTTGTGGCAGCGCGGGCTGCACAGAGAGAGAGTGTAGTGTGCGGCCCGCGAGAACCCGGCGCGGGGTCCCACGAGAAGACGGCACCCCTCGGGGTCTTGCCAAGAGGCAGGTAAGGCACATCCGCAGGTCAAAGGTTGAGCTGCAGCCGGAGGTAGAAATGAGAGATCTCCTTGCCTCCCTTGAAACCGCGATCAGAGGTGGGAGGCGGCACAAATACTGAGCTGATCCTTCCCGGGACCCAGCGGCAGGGACCCCGGGGCTCCAAGTGGGAGTGCACAGGTGGTACTCCCCGTTTGCACCGGTACTCACAGGGACCCAGAAGGCAGCAAGACAGCTTCCTCCACATCCACAGAAAGGCAAGCGAACACCTGCCCTCGGGGCAGCGAGTGCGCCCGCCGAAATGGCACTCCGGAACCTTGCGCGCGCTTCACTCTTGGCGGGAGCCGTTTGCAGTGCCGTGCTGGCCCGCCTATTTGATATTCCACTGTGACCCTCGCGGGGGACTCCCAAAGGCATCTTTTGCTGCTAATAACATAGGTCTAGCCTGGGAGTCAGGAGACTTGTGTCACCCAGTGCCGGTCCCCTGGCTGCTCTGTGCCTTAGGCTCTCTTTGCCTGGGTCACCACCTGTAAGATGGGCTTCCTGGTCGTGCTGCTCCAAGTCTACTCGGTCCACCTCACCGACAAAGGTGCACCGAAAATGTATAAACTCATTACCTCCTGGCATCCAGCCACTTTGTCTGCTCCTAATGGAGGAGACCCAGGCTGGAGTCCGTGAAACTGCTTTCAGATTTTTTTGGCTCCTTAGCATGATAACAAACAACCCTTTTCATCCCTCACTGAGTGATGCTCAAAATACCTGAGAGGTAAGACAAGAAACCCCATCTTACTGATGGGGAAAATGAGACCCAGAGTGGAGAAGTGAGACTTAACCCAGACATATGGCTAACTATGCCTGCAAAATAGGGGCAGGTCTCCTGATTCCAACTCTGGTGTGTTCTCCATCAACTACAGGACTACAGAACAGTACCCCTAAATGGAAAGAGACTACAGGGCTGATCAGAGGGTTGAGAAACAAGGAAGGCTTCTGAAGGAGGTAAGTTTGTCTGGGAATCAAAAAGAATAATAAGAACCTCCTGGCTTCTGATGAGGGTAGAAGAACCAAGGGTTGGGAGAGAGGACACAGGGATGGCTGTTCTTGGTAATACGGGGGCCTGAGGAGACAGATAGGAAAACAGAAAACAAGGTAACCAGGCTGTCCAATACCTTCTCCTGAGTTGTCTTCCCCAGCGCCCATGTGAGGTAAGCAGGGCGGAGGTAATCATCCCCATCTCATAGAGGATATAAATACAGTGCTCAAGGTCACGTAGCCAAGCATACAGCCAAGATTGGAGCTGTGAAAGCTTAACTTAAGAGGGAAGATCACAGAATGGGCGACTGAGAGTTGGACTGTGAATGCTCAGTGGGTGGGTGTGTATGACCACACCCTGGGTAGGTACACTGGCAAGAGGTTACAAGGCCACTGCTGGTGTTTTGGGGCCAAGAATGTTTGATCTTTGGATTAAATGGGGTCCAGATACAGGGAACATGT